ACACTGCAGTTCCATTAAAAGTACATATAAAAATGTTTGATGCTGTGGTAAGACCAATACTGCTCTATTGCAGTGAAATATGGTCAACTGATTACAACAACCATGCAAAAGATTTCTTTAATTTGACAACACCTATGGAAAAATTGCATGTAAAATTCTGTAAATCTCTTTTAAAATTAAACAGCAAAGCTACCAATCTTGCTTGTCTACTAGAACTAGGAAGATATCCATTAGCTATTACTACTGCTGAAGGAGCTGTAAATATAATATTTAAGAAACTGTGCACACTTTGTAATGTCATTTACGTCAAACAACGCATTTTTTTCAAGTTATGGTTCAATAAACATCCTGACATGGAATACCGGTACTAATATCATGAATAATAATAATAATCGTTATTGGTAAACGTATCATTAAATGCGATATTGTTCATAATAAAATAAAGTTAAATGTTGAAAACTAAAATGAAATGAAAAAAAATTTAGAGGAATATATATATATATATATATTTAGATTATTAGGCAGCTGGTAATTTTCATTTAATGAAGTTTTCTCTCATTAAGAAGCCTTGGTATAAAAATTTGCCTAGATTAATTAACATATTTTTGTATTTTGCTTTAAGTGTATTTACAATTTTTCTTCTTTCTTTTGATTGGTCGGTGTTGCAAGAAATTTAGTATAAGCCATGTTGTCATGCCAACTTGTTATATTTATATAGCTCTGGATAAAAACGAAATGAATGTCGAAATATAACTACTTGTAATTTGGCTAATTAAACATCGGTGGACAAAACACTACACTAAATGAAACTAATTAAAATTGACAAGGCCCAATACTAACCTCAGACGTCTTTTTCAGTCTGCACACTAAAGGGTTGGTCATTAGAAAATCAGAGGAGATGGCGGAATTGCACAGCAAAAAAATCATACAGCGTTAATTTACGTAATCAAAAATCGTAATACGTAAATCTTAAGGGGAAAATATTCCACACCGTGGAAAACAAATTACAGCAGTTTCATCATGAAAAAAAATACCGGTAGCTTACACATTTTTCTTGTCACCCATAATATTTAATGGTCTGTCCCTAACACAATAGCTCACCACATTCTGAAAATATGATTACATATTAAATTAACAAATGTACAAATATGATATTTGGTTGATCCAAACCAGTATATCAACTGCTTCCTGTGGTACGTGATTATGTTTATGTAACCATTGATTGGACATTTCCTAATTTTAATACTGTATTATAACATGGTTAGTCTGAATCTAGCAATCTGGCCGAAGCAAGGTTAACATTTGCATTTGCCTAGCACTTGAAGACCTGTGATTCCGACAGAAACAGAATAAACAGGCTTAAATATCTAACTGAATCGCGATTGCACGACTGTTCGCATTATACCACAGTCCCTCTATCGCGCGAGGACTGTGATTATACATACTAGTAATAATTGCGAGTGTATAATCAACTGAACAAAACAAGGAAACCTTGTACAAATACTAGTACGAATTATTATTGTAAAAAATAATAATATATGGTGCATTTTGCAAGAAAACTCCCCGCACAATAGGGCGTGAAAATTCTTAGCCTACAAAATGAATTAGAATGCCAGTTTATACAAATAAAACCAAAAATCCACGTGGAAATTATCATACAATGCAATAACAATGTAAATCGGGCGTTATGTTTTCAAAATTATTTCCCTATTAGGTGTTTTTTTTTTTTTTTTAAGCGGGAGGGTCGTCACCTGCACACACGCGGGAATCGAGTCCCAAGCGATGATAACAACACACGCTAAAACGCAAAGGCTCATGGGTAGACACACTATGGCCACCTGATGCATGCGTAGGTGACAACTCCCCGATTTAAACATGGTTCTTCGTCATCCCTTACAGTAGTAATATAATCAAAGAAACCCCGTTGGGAGAATTGTAAAATTTAAACATAGCAGCGTGACGTAACCAACGATTTTGTAGTGTGTTTGTGCAAGCTTCTTATGAGGTTATGAACGCCACGCTCGAGTGTATGGTAGCGTACATAAGATATCTGTGTTTAAAATTAGAATATCTGGGGCTTACGCTTGGTTATTATCTCTGACTAAATATGCTAATTTTTCCCAAAGATGTCTTAAATCTGCCACCAAATATCCTCACTTGCCGTTTATAACCTCTAAATAAATGCTCAGCAAAATTGTATAAATCCGATCAACATTCAAAATCACAATACCTTATCAACAAAACAGCCTTTGACGTGTGTGTGTGTGTGGGGGGGGGTGTGGGGGGGGGTCGCTGAATAAAATATGGTACGCAAGCTGAAGTAAAAAACACGTAAAATGGGTGTTATTTAGTTATTTGATGCGTATACGCGTGTACCGTGTTGTGGAAAAAAGGAATCTCATGAATTCATGTTACCTCGAAACAGTGTGATTTT